TTATCGATTCAAGGTCCGGTTCAGTTTTAAAAACATTAATATATATCTAACTCATGAAATTTGGGTGGGTTTGGTCTGTTTTTGATTGTTCAACCGATTCCAGTTTCTACTCCCTACCCACCTATTTCACCCAAAGATGGATTCTATTTTTTTATTATTATTTTCTTCACCTAATTATTAATTTGGGACTTTTTTCTTTACCACCGGAATAGAAGAAAGCATTGGTGAATATAAAAAGGGTAAATTACGCTTTAATATCTAAACTATCAGTTTTAATTCATTTTAGTATCTAAACTTTTAATTTTTTAAAATCATATTTAATGTTTAGTTTTATTTTGTTTTAGTACCTATCGTTAAAAACTTAACACGTTTAATTCCTAAAATATCAGTTTTTGTTAGTTTTAATACCTAAACTTTTAATTTTTCAAAACTTAACATTAAATTTTGAACGTGTTACTAAAATAAAACAATACTAAATTTCACGAAAGATATTAAAATGAAATAATAATTAAACTTTAGGTATAATTTTAAAAAAATAAAAATAAATTACTAAAATTGATAATTTAGATACTAAATACGTAATTTATTTATATAAAAATAAGTTAGGGGTAAAAGAGTCAGAAGACGAAACTAAAAAACCAGAGACGGGACAGGACACTGTTTATTAGTTGCGGAGAAAACACGGAGGATCTCAAAGCCTTCCCCTAGCACGCTGCTGTCCCCGCTCCCTCCCTCCCTCCTTTAAAAGTCCAACCCCCCCCCCCCCCCTTTTTTTCTCTATCAGCTTGTCTCGAACTCTCTCTATTTCCAAACAATCTCACTTTCGGTTCAATCATGTCTTGCTTCACTAGCAAATACGCCGGTAATCCCACCTTTTCCAATGCTTATAAATCTCAATTTCTTCCATATCTGTTACAAGTTTTATGATTTGATCCACTCACTCTTTTGCTTTTGTAATGGATCTGTGATGAAAAGCTACTTCGTTTCCATGTCTAGATTTCTTCGGATCTTAATAGATTCCATCTTTTTATTCTCGCGCTCAGATCTTCAGTTGATATTAGCTAAATTTAATTATTGTCGAAAGCAACATAATACAGTTTTCCGATTTATGTAATAAAATTTTGGGTAAAGTATAGTAATGGTCACTGAACATTTCTGAAGTTTGCATTTAGGTCTCCCAACTTTTAAAACTTGCAATCTCAAACATTTAATTCGTTTGCAATATGGTCCCGCACCTATGAAAATTAGGGTAAATCATATAAATGGTCATTGAACTTTTTAGGCACTTGAATTTAGGTCTCCCAACTTTTAAAACTTACAAAACATTCCTCAACTTCATTATAAATCCCAAATTTCAAAGTAATTCATTTCATTCTAAACTCTAATTCCAAATAATTCAATTACATTCTAAACCCTAAATTCTAAAATACTTCAATTTAAGGAGAAATATAATATATTATCTTTAAGAACGTGATAGCGTTTTTATTTTTTTTACTTTTGTGAAGAAAAAAAATACACTCCCTCATCGTAAATGTAAATTTAGTGATCTTCAATAATTTAAATATAAAAAATGATTATGGAAGAAATTGAATAAAAAAATAAAATCTCTCAATGAAAAAAATTAAGAATCAAAATCCCCAATTGACATCCTTATAATTTTTATTTATTTCAATTATAATTTAATTTTTTTAATAGTTTGATGTGATTATAGATAATATTTATTCAAAAAAATTAATTTATTAACAATATAGATACCCTACAAACACAATTGTTTGAATTTAAAACTTTTAAAGAAAATAACATTTTTTACCTATATTAGAAAATTAAAAAATAGATCATGCTAGAACTAAAAGAATACGTGACCATGAAATAGAAAGTTTACGTATGTTATGAAAGCATGGCACAAACCCCATCTCTTTTGAGTTGATTGTTATCATCAACTTAGGGTATATTATTAAATTATTGATTTTTTTATTTATTTTGAAGTAGTCAACTTCAGTGTTTATTTTTTTATTGTGTTTTTTTATGATTTTATTAAATAATTTTTCTACAAAAAATATTCGATGTAATAAGTAAATAAATATTTAATTATCATGGTAATATTTATATTTTAATTATAATAGAAATAGTATAAAAATAAAAAATATTTATACATCATTACTATAATTAACATAACTCGTATATAAAAATTTTGACTCTGTTATTTATGTAGTCTTAATATTTATGTGAAAGATATAAAATATATTAACACGTATGATTAGATATAAAAACATACACAAATAATCAGAAGTATATTATTTTTAAATAAATGAATTATTATCATATATTCTTACTATTGAAAAAATTTTCATGTCTTTAAATTAATAATAAAAAATTATCATATGTTTTTAAATATAAAAAGTAAATTAATTAATAATTTAGTGACATTGGCGTCGTTTATAAAAAGACAGAAATTGAAGTATTTTAGAATTTGGGTTTTAGAATGTAATTGAATTATTTTTGGAATTTAGGGTTTAGAATGAAATTGAATTACTTTGGAATTTGTGGTTTAGAATGAAATTGAGAATTGTTTTGTAATTTTTAAAAGTTGGGGGACCTAAATTTAAGTGCCTGAAAAGTTTAGTGACCATTTATATAATTTACCCTAATATTCATAGGCGCGGGGATCATATTGCAAACGGATTAAATGTTTGGGGACTGTATTGCAAGTTTTAAAAGTTGATGGACCTAAATGCAAGTTTCGGAAATGTTCAGTGACTATTACTATACTTTACCCTAAAATTTTAACTGAAATGAATAAAACTTGTTTTGTTTAATGATATCTGAAAATTTTGATATGCACATATTCATGCATGTACTCGACCGAATCCATTTTACCTTTCAGTAGTTTAGAATTTAGTTACCTGTCCTTGATATGTGCTTTTGAATTATCATCATATCAATCTGACTATAGTTCCAAAAAAATCATTGATTAAAGTTGGTTAAGTTGTTCATCTACATGGAAATTTCATTTTAGATGTTATCGATTTACTGTTTTTTGTTTATCCATAATTGTATCTCTGTGTCTTTACTGGTTAATTGGTGGCTGATTATTTTTTTTATCTTAAAAATGTTGCAGATGAGCTAGCTAAAAACGCCGCCTACATTGGTTCCCCAGGAAAGGGTATCCTTGCTGCTGATGAATCCACTGGAACAATTGGCAAGCGTCTTTCAAGCATTAATGTAGAGAACGTTGAAGAGAACAGGCGTGCTCTCCGTGAGCTCCTCTTCACTATTCCCGGTGCTCTCCAGTACCTCAGTGGTGTTATTCTCTTTGAGGAAACCCTCTACCAAAAATCTGCTGCTGGTATTATTATTCTGAAACACCTGCATTCGATGCTTTCTTTTAAAAAATGAATGGCTTGCTGTTGATATTTTATATTAATGTCTGATATATACAGGCAAGCCCTTTGTTGATGTCTTGAAGGAAGGTGGTGTCCTCCCTGACATCAAGGTTGACAAGGGTACCCTTGAACTTAATGGAACAAATGGTGAGACTTTCACCCAGGGTCTTGATGGCCTTGCCCAGCGTTGCCAGAAGTATTATGAAGCTGGTGCTCGCTTTGCTAAATAGCGTGCTGTTCTCAAGATTGGTGCTAATGAGCCAACTGAGCTTGCTATCCAAGAAAATGCCAATGGACTAGCCATATATGCTGCCATCTGCCAACAGTGCGGTCTTGTCCCCATTGTTGAACCTGAAATCCTTGTTGACGGATCACACGACATTAAAAAGTGTGCTGAGGTGACAGAGCGAGTCCTTGCTGCTTGCTACATGGCTCTAAATGACCACCGTGTCATGCTTGAGGGTACCCTGTTGAAGCGTAACATGGTGACCCCTGGTTCCGAATCTCCAAAGGTTGTACCTGAAGTTATTGCCGAGTACACTGCCCGTGCATTGCAGAGAACTGTACCGGCGGCAGTTCCTGCTATTGTATTCTTGTCTGGTGGACAAAGTGAGGAGGAGGCTACCCTCAACCTTAATGCCATGAACAAGCTTCAGACGAAGAAGCCATGGTCACTTTCGTTCTCATTTGGACGTGCCCTTCAGCAGAGCACTCTCAAGGCCTGGTCTGGTAAGGTAGAGAATCTGAAGAAAGCCCAAGATGCTTTCCTCGTTAGGTGCAAGGCCAACTCTGAGGCCAGTCTCGGTACCTACAAGGGTGATGCAAAGCTTGGGGAGGGTGCTGCAGAGAGCCTCCACGTCTCGAACTACAAATACTAAGCGTTTAGGCTTTGTGATCTAATGTTTCATGTTTTGCGGATTAAAGATGTAGTACTTTTAGGTCTTTTCTTAGGGGGTGAGATTGGACAAAATAAGCCTTTGATGTCTTTTGTGATGGTTTAGTGTTTTGATGCTTTTTTCTTCATTTATGTTCAAAACAATGAGTTTAAAACAGCGTTTTGGCACAATGAGCTTGCATTTAATATATCTACTGAATTTCCTGTGTACAAACTCACCTGTGTCATACGCTTTTGAATGATAAATCTCATTCATCACTATCGGTTTATTAATTACGATGATTAAAGTGTTGTTGCCTGGCGACCTAATGACGGAGAGTTTGAAAACATAAAGTCCCTTTAATCGACAATCCTTCATTTACTGGTACAAATTTGACTCGAAACAACATAATCTCAAAGATTTATTTCTGGTTCTGCAATCTGATCTCAGTCATTGTTTCTCTATCCTACACACCGTATTGCAGACACACCAGGGGGTAAAGAAGCTCTCATGCATGTTTTTCACATAGGACAGAAAAAAATTCACCCGATAATATCACTAAACAGTAAATTATTAGCAGTCATGAAATAAATTGGTAGTTGATGAAAAACTAACAAAATAAAATTTCCATGAATATTGAATGGCTGGAAAGATTTTTCAGAAATATAAGATTGAGAAATATTCCAATGTTTGAAACAACAGCAACATTTTGAAATCTGCCATGTGTTTTCCCCCTTTCATCTTACTGGTTTTTAGATTTGCTGAGCTTCAAACCATGGGTCTCCCACAAGTTTGTCTCACAGTATTCTCCTTCGCTATAGAGGGACACATTGTTCCTATAATCATAATCACTGCACCTAGTGCTCTTGCGTTTTATGTTACCCTCGGTTTTCATTAGGCAAGCACCAATGCTTTTCCATTTGTGTTTGCACATCAAAGCACTCCTCTCAAAGCCTAAGGAGGTCATCTTAGCAGCTATTTCCTCCCACAGAATCTCTTCGGAACACCCTTCTTCTTCTTCGAACCTTGATTCCATGCAGGTTCTCAGCTGTATAAGCCATGAAACCTCAGATTCTTGCCAGCCATCTTCCTTAACAGATTCAGTTGCTATCAGATCGTCGCCCTTAAATTTTTTTCCTGTCAGGTTTTGTAAAGCTTTTATTAAAGCTGCATCACGAGCTTCAATCCATTCTTCGAACCTTGATTCCATGCAGGTTCTCAGCTGTATAAGCCATGAAACCTCAGATTCTTGCCAGCCATCTTCCTTAACAGATTCAGTTGCTATCAGATCGTCGCCCTTAAATTTTTTTCCTGTCAGGTTTTGTAAAGCTTTTATTAAAGCTGCATCACGAGCTTCAATCCATGCTCTCTCTTTAGCCCAAAATCTGTGCTCTCTATCAAGCCTGGCTGCATTTTCTTTCCTCCATTCTTCCTCCCTTGATACCCTCTCTTTCTCCTTTTGTTCAAGAGTCTTCATCAACTTCTCTATCCAAGCCTCTTGCCTCTCCATTAACTTCTTCATCTGGGAGTCCATAAACTCTTCTATCTTCACCTTCCATCTCGCACTACTACCCTTTTTCCTTTTCCTCTTCAATGCCTCTGCAGTGATCAAATCATTGTCATCTGAGTTGTAAGTGTCGAATCCAGAGGAATTAGAGAGGCTAAAACTATCACAGTGCTTTCCGTCAGAGTGAGAGAGCTCATGATTTGCTTGAGAATGGCTATTGAGAGTATTATGAAACGAGAAACTGCTGGTGTCTCCATATAGAGCTTCAAGGTGTCGAAAGAATCTATGGTGCTTGCCATCATGTCTTCCGGCCTTCACTTCCCTAGTCCTTTTGTAATACTTGAACAAGTTTTCAAATTTTTCCTTGCATGTTTCCTCACTCCTTCGATATCCATATTCTTCATACATGATCCTACAACAAAAGGGGAAAATTATGAAATGATAATGAATTAAAGTCCAAGTATTTAAAGAAAATTAGTATGAATAGACAGGAACCCTAATTAAGATGTGAATTTTGCCAATGTCATGGAAAAAACTGTGTTTCCATTGCTGAGCATTTTGCAGTTTGACCCCTAGTAAAGCAAGAATATAGCATGTTATTTGACAATTCAAAATTGCAGACAACGATGTGTCTTTGCCAAGGGACTGATAAGACGTCTTTTAACTGATGACATTAACAGGTGTAAAAACATACAAAAAGGTTAGTTAGTAATTTTCTTTAGCTAAAAACCATGTAATAAGAAGAATGAACAACCCCATTTCATATCAGTAGACTAGGGGGGGGGAACGAAATGTTGAATTAGGGTATGGCAGTATAGGAGTGTATACGTACCTGGAAACTTCATCCCACAAAGGACCCTTTTGATTAGCTTCTTTGAACATTGGATGAAGGCGAGATCTGATCTCAACAAGTGTTAAAGCCTCTTGCCTAGGCCACCTCCCAGTTTTTTCACCATCAAACCCACAACTGGCACTTGGGGTAGAAGTGACAGTAGCAATGACGTTATTAGCCGTAGAATCTGAAGGGAACTCTTGATGAAGCCCACTACACATCAACTGATCAGCACCGATTTGTGTACCCACCGTTGGCATCGTATCAAAGTGATAGTGATGATGGGATTGCTGTGGTGGCGGCAGATCCCGGTGGCTGGAGGAGCAAAACTGGGGAGGAATTTGTGGAAGTAGAATTGCTTGAAAATTCGTTGTCCTTCCACTGAGCAGTTCATCAGGCATGCCGTATTGATGGTGATGATGATGATCCTCCATTCCACTGAGCTCGGACCGTCTTGCTCCTACTGAAAATTTTCCTTTTAATCGCTCTCAAGTAACCTAAGTTAAGCAAGATAGAACTTTTTGTTCCCTATGGGACGTGCGCGAGAGAGACAGAGAGAAGGTAATTAATGAGGGACACATGGTTGAAGGCAAGGCGACAAAATTAATATTGCAGGAGAGGAGAGTCGCTCAGTTGCTGACTACTGGTGAGCCAGTGAATTCATGGCATGTACGCTAGGCCTTGGCCCAAACTATTCATAAGTTGAGTTGAATTATTGGGAGGATCAACGTCCCTGGAGAAGATCACCAACAGGGGCTGATCAGTATAAGGCCATGGAAAGAGTAAAAGTGTAGGCTTGTTTGGGTTTGAACGTAAACGATGAAGGTGGCAGTACTGCCTGGTTGCCCCATGTGATTACAAAAGATTGATGGTGATGTATGCAACCAACTGTAGCCATTTTCTACTACATAGTACATCATCCCCTTCCCCTTCCAATTTATTGCTCTACGTTGCTGCTTCTGTGTGCCTCTGATTTTTTGGGGAACTACATTGCTACAAAAAAACCATGGTGTAACACTTTCGGTATCTAAGGCTTAAACATTAATATTAATTATCACATCTCATTCAAATCAATAAAGTATAGGCATCCACATTTTCCATTACAGAAACAGGATTGTGAAGTAACGAAGAAAAAAGGGGGCAATTGGATTTGGAGACAATAACTGAACAGTAGAATTTCACTGCTTTTTCTGGGACTGGGAGAGTGTGAGCCTTAAGATCTGATGCCTTGCTTCTCAAGTGGCAGATTTATCCATCCATGTGTTAAACAAAATTGTTAATCCGAGATAAAAAAAAATAATAATAATAAATATTATTATATAATCGAATGAAGTAAAATAAATAAAACTTAGGCAAGAAATTGGTTTACTCATATTTAGACGATGAATTGGATGAGTAAAGTATGATAAACCGAAGAAGGATTTTTGTTGAGGCCTGTATGAACAATTTCCTTAAGACAGATTCGTCCTCTCCTCGATGCTTTGATTAACGTTGGATGTCGGTCTCTCAGGATACAACAACAAACGATCACAACAGTAAGCATAACTGTAGTGATCAGTCGAACACAATCTTGTCTTTCTCTATTACCGGAAAGAACGAATTTGAAAAGAATTTTTTAAGTGATTTCCTAATTCAACTTTATGAATTGTGTCTCAAAGTTGTCTCTCAAAGTTGAGTCAAGTTGTGTCTAAGATTGTGCCTCAACTAACTTTATATATAGGAAAAAGAGAAAATTAATCAAAAGGTTATGACCTTTTGATGAAGAGATTTGTTGAAAAGCTCATATGTATAATTGAATTGATGCAATTTTATACCAAATAATAAGTCTGTTCATCAAGTGACATAACTTATTATTAAAAGACATCAATTTTATTCAATTATTTATTAATTTTTCCAACAATCCCTCACATGAATGAAATTAATTATTTCAAACACTGACTTGATATGGTGATAGATTCTACGTTCGATATTAGCATAGGATAGGTAGGCGTCCCCTTTGAACCTTCCATTGTGAAAATATGTTTACCTTAATGGTTGTCCAGTAAACGTGATGTCCTTGAACTGTCCTGCCGTTGGTGTAAGCAATGACATATCTCTCACAAATATCTCACTAACAAGAATTTGGTTCTCATGGTTATGTCCATATAGCCGTGAACATCTCCTGGTTCTGCAAGAGTTTAGAGAACTATGCCCCAATAGTCTCTTTGAAGCGGCTCCACTTCACTCTCACATAGGTGACTTATGTTGGTCAGCTCACCGAAACACATAGTGGTCATTAAAAGCATTTCTTAACCTTTTCCACATTTTAGTCAATGTTTTCATCATAGGAATGGACTTGGGGATAAGATCCCCCACAGTGACCTCACAAGGTCTATGCAAGTAGGTTGTCCCATTGAACTTAGATCTTGTGATCTCCAGTCAACTAAGTTGGGTTTTCCTTCACATAGCGCCTTAAATATTAATGGGATTTAGTACATTCCTTTTGATGTTTATCAACTTGATTTCGATTCAACTCATTATTTAGCGGATCCACAATGTTATCTTTTGATCTTACAAAATCAATATAGATAAATCTAGTTGAGATTAATTGTTTAATGATATTATGTCGACGACGTATATGTCTCGACTTACCATTATACTTATACAAGGCACCCCCACACTTGGATGTAGTTGTAGGAGTGTTTTCTATATTTCCACAACTCATATGGTGTCTCACCTATTTTCTTGTAAGTTACCTTATTTAAAGGTAATTTGCTAACAACTCAGAACATGACCAAATGTCATTCATGATTCTTTAGCAATCTTATGGATACTATACACTTCATATGGTGTATTTGACAATCCATTCAAGATGTAATTCTGACATAGAAACTTAGAATGCTTTCAAGCTTTAATGAATACAATGTCTATCTCATCCTCTCTATGACTAGGAGGATCATCCTATATTTGATCATATTCAACATTATTAAATATAACATCTTATGTCGCTATGTCTTGAAATTCTATTCATGAATTTCACATGCTTCTTGTTGTGGCTCACAACCACTGACATTGTTTTGAATAGGAATCAACATTTCAAATCATGAGTTAGGTGAATCAATGGAGTTACCATTATTTCGTTTAAAACACGTAACCAGAATTTGTAAATATTCCAACAATAAATTGAAAGTTAATTCAATTTATTTTACCATTCGTTTCTGTTGAACAACAAAATTTAATTAGAAATTTGTTATCAACAGTAAATCAAATAAATTTTGTTGAACAACATGATTAAAATCCTGAAACAAAATTATAGGCCCGATTTTTGTTCACATAATTGTGTTTGGTACCTACAATGAATTTTAGTCAAAAATAAAATCCAACAATTAATTTCTGTTAAACGGTGGGAATTTAGTAAAATTAAAATTCTGAAACAGAAATTCACAATCAACAATATTTTTGTTGAATTCGTTAAACGTCAGGATTAAAAACTAAAATCTGAAACAAAACCAACTTATATTGGACAACGGGAATAAAACCCAAAATAGAACCAATTTCTGTTAAACAACAAGAATTTAATAAATTAATTCCCGAAACATAACTAATTTCTGTTGATCGGTGGGAATTTAATAAAAACCCGAAACAATAGTATAATCTCAATATATAAATATTATAAAAGAAATATTGAATGGTTACACATACCTTTTCGATTTCTTGATCAAAATTCTAATATTGCCAACCAAAATTTAACAATCAACCTTCGGGTTAAAGAGAAACGCAACCACAAAGGACAAGGCACAACTTGAATTTGAAGAGATTTAATCCAACAAGCAGACTTATAATCCAACAAGGTTTCGTAGGTATATATATATAATCTCATCACCAATAGCAAACAACTAACATGTTAGTTTTGCAAAGAGAAATAATGCAGTGACCGAATATTATATGACACTTGCATCATTTTTGTTCAAAGTTAATGCTTTTGAAAAAAAATATGATTTTCATGCAAGTAGGGTTGCGTACCTTGCTCCACTTGAGAATTTCAATGACACAAATTGTCACAATCAATTACTTATAAAGTTCATCTCGGATTAGAATTGTAAAATAAAATACAAAATATGTCTTAAGATTGTTAGACAAAATTGTTAATCCGAGATAAAAATAAAAATAAAAATAAATATTATTATATTAATTGAACGAAGCAAAATAAATAAAACCTAAAGTAGAGGAAAGAAATTGGTTTACTCATATTTAGACAATGAATCGGATGAGTAGAGTATGATAAACCGAAGAAGGATTTTTGTTGAGGCTTGTATGAACAGTTTCCTTAAGACAGATTTGTCCTCTCCTCGGTGCTTTGAGTAACGTTGGACGTCGGTCTTCCAGGATACAACAACAAACGATCACAACAGTAAGCACAACTGTAGTGATCAGTCGAACACAATCTTACCTTTCTCTATCACCAGAAAGAACGAATTTGAAAGGAATTTTCTAAGTGATTTCCTAATTCAACTTTGTGATTGTGTCTCAAAGTTGTCTCTCAAAGTTTAAGTTGTGATCTTACCTTTCTCTATCACCAGAAAGAACGAATTTGAAAGGAATTTTCTAAGTGATTTCCTAATTCAACTTTGTGATTGTGTCTCAAAGTTGTCTCTCAAAGTTTAAGTTGTGTCTAATATTGTGCTCAACTAACTTATATATATGAGAGAGAAAATTAATCAAAAGGTTATGACCTTTTGATGAAGAGATTTGTTGAAAAAACTAATAGGTATAATTGAATTGATGCAATTTTATACCAAATAATAAGTCTGTTCATCAAGTGACATAACTTATTATTAAAAGACATCAATTTTATTCAATTATTTATTAATTTTTCCAACACCATGCACATGCATGCGTGCACCTATATATATACCAAGTAATTCAAGAAGCAATTGATAAAGGAAAATCAATATCGAGTTCGATTTTCGGTGATACGCTATAACTCGAGTCAGGTTTTTTCAGAAATTAAAGTTATTTTGGATATAGCGGCGATAGACGTGGTTAGACCAACAAGGACCGGATTTCGAAGATAGAATTGAAAATTTCGGTTAACCAGAGAGAAGTGTTAGTTGTAGGAGTTGGGTCCTGTTGATAGTAACAGACGTTAGGGAAAATTCTATTTCGATGATCAATCGAAATTGAGACTAAGCAAAACCTAAGGCTATATCATCTATATTGAATTCTTCTATTTTATTTACTTTATTTATTATCTCATTATTCCATTTATTATTTTTTATTACTTTCATTATTTTTAAATCCCCATTTTTATTTTTATAATTAAAACCCAAATATCGAAACAAGTAAATTATTCAGACTTCCTTAGTTCTTATAGATCGACCTCTACCTGTCGATATTATCTTTATTATTTATTTGATATTAGAGTATTTATTTTTATTTGGCAATTTGAAACAAGTAAAAGGAAATGTTGTTCACCCTAAAGGTCATAGGTTCGAGCAGTTGGGTCTGATGTGTACGCGTTGTTAATTGATTAAAAAAAGTTATGAATAGATACTACATTGTAAATTCCCTAAATTATTAAAAAAT